TCATCGAAACACTTTCTCCACTGGGAATTGTTTTTCTTTTGGCAATAGGCAAAATTTTAAAAAAAAGTAACTTGAGGTAGGGTACAAATGAGTTTCTCGTGCGGAGTATTAGATCGAAAATTTCCATTTTCTTACTACGTAATAACAGAAAAGCTTTAAAAACCAAACAGATGCTGCTTATGCCTGTCCATGAGAGGTTTTAATAAACTAGGTCACTTGACATCATTTCTTTCTATAACAAGTGCGAGTGTAGGTGTGAGTGTGATTATGATTTTTGGTGTGAATTGCAAACAAGACATCCATACCCACTCAAATCACTTAAAACTTCGACTAGGATATCTATTACTTCTGAATGATTAATTCTAAATCTCTGAACCTTGTACAGTTTTGTAGATCTTTCATCAGCGATTGCAAAACACATCTGGAAATTGAGAAATCATTGTAAACACCTCACAAGTAGATTTGTTTTCAAGAAGGTTAATTAAAAACCTTTAAAAAAGTCACATGAAAAAAATCTATAATAAATGACTCAATGCACTCTTATCATCTCTTTTGAACGATGAAAATCACAATTTCTTATCTTGTTTATATTAAAATTTATCCAACAAAATATCCACTGAATAGACACTGGTACTACCAGGCACATATCATAGTAAAATAAGTCATATCCACCGTTTTTTATTATGATATTAGTTGAAGTATGATCAAATAGCATAGAAAAAAAGAGCATTCTTTTTTCTATCAGACTATTAAGAAAGAAAGTTTCTTAAACTTTTTTATAAAGAATTACAATACCTTTGTCACTATTTTTAGCATGACCTAAGTATATTGACAAGATTTTTTTCATATCTTATATTGTGCGCGTTCTCAGTATTTAACAACATCGGATATTGGGATGCTACTAAATAGTAAGAAAAATGATTAATTTATGCTGTAATACCACAATTTTGTTTATTTAGTTATCATAGAGGGGATCTTTCTTTATTTTGTAAGTTTTATTTTTCAAATAATAAATTTTTTATTTTATATTTTTGTTTCATAAATATAAAGAATGTGTTTATCTTGATTTTGTGACGATAAATGTCTTATGTATATTTATTTTGCCAGGTATAGATAAAATAAATCAACAGTTCTATTCTTAAAATTGCAACATGTAATAGTAGCGATCGATGCGATAATGAACATAGAAATAAGTGCCCGCTGTGTATGGTTCAGAACAAGTTATGCTTGGTTTGTAATCGGCTATTCGTTGGTTCAAATCTTAGTTTAAGCTGCCACTGGAAAAATCACCATTCTATTGCTCACAGGATTTGAGTGTTATGTTACAGCTCACTATGGTGCATCGGTTAGATTCCAATGCAGAATGATGGTTATTTTTTAATTTTCTTTTCGAAAAAAGTAAACACGTCAACACGCGTTTATCTAGTAACTGCATTCAAACGCAGCAATACTCGAAAACGCATCGTAATCCGTCTTCAACATAGGCGAGTTTACACGCGTTTTGGTTTCTGAAAATGTCGCACTTTGGACTCGTTCAAACGGATCTTTTGATGTAAACCAGTGGTGATGCTATTCGAATTGGAACGAGAAAAGATGCGTCTGCTCATTCTGAACACGTTCAGATCCCATAGAATGTTGCATTCTGGATGCATTCAAACGCGTCAAGTTGCATAACTTATAAACTCAAGGACGCGTTTAAAATCTAAAAAGGGTTGCATGAACGGTAATTGTTGTCCTCTCATACAATCAGCTGTATTTTTATACGAATTGGAATTCAAGTAATAATTGACATTTGAATTATGGATCAAGAATACTTTGCAAAAAACAAATCTTCTCTTTATTTCATGCGTCTTATTGGATGTCAAGTTACATAGAAATCAGAAAAATGAAGGTTACTTTTTTATCTTAACAATTCAAGACTTCAATAATTTTTTCGAATGTAGCAACGATGATTCATTTTTTACAAATCAACCATTGATTTATTTGAAAGGACAAACATAACGATGTAACAAATTAAAAGATGAGAAAAAATTTTTTGTTGAATTTTCGATCGTTTCTTGGAGATCATCATCAGAACGAATATGTTGTTGTAACAAATATAACACCACCTATATCAACTACACAATAATCATTACGAACCATCAATACATATAATAATGTTAAATCTGTAAATTGTTGCTACATTAAAATTTATTATTTACTTCGAAAAATCCATGTTTTCATCTATTTGATAATGTATGAATTCAAGACTTTATTCGTCGTTACTCTCAATATTAACTTTTTAAACCGAGATGATGTCAGTGGGAAAAAAATGAGACTTTGTTTTTCTCCTTCTATTTTTTTTTATTAACGCTGTGTCGAAAATCAATTATCCAGAAGATAAGAGGAAACTAGACCCTTAGTCTCGGTTTCAAAACAGATGTAACAGGCCAAGTACATAGTAGTTAGTTTTGTGCAATAGTGGATGCTGATAAAAAGGCAGATAAGTGATCCAAGTAACACTTATGAAGATGTGCATGATTGTTCCAGTTAATCCAATTACGAATGTAACTATTAGGTCTACCACGAGGTAGAGCGTCAATAAATTGAGTTTCTTCGAAGTGCATTTGTAGATACACCGGCATCGCCTTTGAGAGAATATAAAATTCGAAAAGTTCAGGTGATAGTGTTTGTACTTTATCAATGAAACGGCGTAAGAAACGTTGAGCACGTGATGTGGCAGTTTGAAAAGCAGACAACCATTGCACTTCATCTTTACGAGCATCCCACCAATTGTGGATCAATCTATAAATTTGACGATTTTTGGCTTCAATTTTGGCAATAGTTCCATTGGAAAGTAAGGACCAGGTTGCATATATCAGTTGAAAATATGGTAAAATAAATGCATTAAAGGTTAGTTGACATGTTCGTAATGAGGATACATGTGATCAAGTGATGTATTTTAGTACAGTTGAATTAATTTGAATTTTCTCAGGCATATTAGTGCAATGTGTGTTGAATGATAATCGTTCATCAACAAAGTAGCCCAAATATTTAAACAGAGAAGTACGTCTGATAGGTTGTTGATTAATGGTGAGAGTAAGATAAGGTAATACCACGCGTCTATGTATCCATTGCTATTCTGTTTTTTCACAATTAATTGGTTGTTCCCACGTATTGGCATAGGTTTGGAGCTCGTTCAAAGTTCGTTGACCTAAATGTTGCATATGTTTCACAAACTCACCTCTAGTCCACCATGGAGAGGCTGTTATTATAAGAGCTAGATCGTCGGCATACAGATGTTGATGACTGGCTGATGGGACTTCTTGAACTAGTGTGCAGTGAAATAAAAGAAAAAGAATTGGACCGAGACATGAACCTTGTGGAACTCCCTTCTCAATGTTGAAGATGTTGGAAGTAAGATTGTTTAGTTCAATATAACATTTACGATTCTTCAAATATTCTATGATAAAATCGATTATCTCTCGTGAACAATTCATGTTGTACAATTTATAGATTAATCCATCATGCCAAATTTGATCAAAGGCTTTCGTGAAATCTACATAAATTACAAGAGTTGCTGTGTGTTGTACTAGACCTGTAGTAATGTCCTGTAGAAATTGTATAAATCTGGTGGTGGTAGAATGATGTTGTCGAAATCCGGATTGCTCCGATGGAAGAATACCGGTATTGTTTATCCACTGAAGAAGATAGACAAGAAAACATCTTTCGTATACCTTACTTAAACATGGTAAGAGTGAGATAGGTCGCGTTCTGTTGATGTTTAGAATAGTTGATTTATCTTTGGGTAATAGAATCATCTTTGATAATTTCCAATGTTGAGGATATTCATTATGGATAAGCAGCTGATTAAAAATTTGAAGAATAAAACCATAATGAGATATCGGGATTGACTTTAACAATTTGTTGGAGACTTTCTCATGTCCACTTGATGTCTTTGTTTTAAGACGACGAATTGATTGAATTAAGTCGCCAATACAAAATAAGAACGGCTTAGATGGAAGTTCGAGGAGGTTTTGTGATAATGATGCTTTAAATTCATTAACACTGTGATTTTGGTGAGGTGTTTCAATTTCTGTGAATAATGTGGAATAGTAGTTGAAAGCATGTTGAATCATAGCATTAGTTTCAGTCAATATGGAATCATGTTCATCATTGACAAATCCTTGAATTCTAGGGATTTGTTTGTTAAAAAGAGTGCGAGTGTGTCGCCAAAATCGTTGAGTATTTTTTGGTTCGAGATTGATACAAAATTCTTGCCATTGAGCTTTCTTAACTGCTCTTAATTCATATTGAATGTATCGATTTAGAGAAGCAAGCGAAAGACGATGGTCATTCGCGTTAGTCAATCGATAAAGATTTAGCATTTTACGTCGGTATTTAATGATATTAACGAGATATTGTGGTAGACTTGCTCGATATTTTTTAATCAGATGATAATCAGTACAGCGTTCTTGTAAGGCAACAAGAAATTTTTCATAAAGAAGAATGAACTCAGTTGGTGCAGTTTTCATATGTTGAGCTAAATTAAAGAAAAATGTTTGTTTTAAATCTAAAATGCAACTTATCAGTTTCCAGTCGATATGTTTCAATTCATATGAATTTATATTATTGAAGAAAAATGATGTGATTTGCCAGTGAACAGGATAATGATCTGTCACTTGCATAGTTTGGTCGACTTCAGAAATTTCTGATGATATTTGATGTGGGGCTATGATTAGATCAATAATGGCTTGAGATCGGGTTGATGTGGGTTGTGAAGCATTATATATTTTTAGATTTGGCAGTGAATTAATCCATTCACTCAGTCGAGAGCCGTTCATGTTCGTAGTCACATCATACCATTGAGGATGTCGAGCATTGAAATCACCGACTAGAATTAAATTAGAATTACGTTCGTACAAATGATTAAGAGTGTAGGTAGGTAAATTTTCAGAAGGTGGTATATAAAGAACGACAAGAGTGTATCGTTGGCTCTTGTTGAAGATGTCAATAGCAATCAAGTTCTCGATGTGGCTGACTTGAGAGATGGATTGGTGAGGTATCTGATGAGCAATGGCTAAACAAACGCCACCGAAGTTATTTGATCCATGTTGAAAATATATAGTATAGTGAGATTTGAAGAAGCTAGCTAATCGATAATTAACGTGGTTGTTAAAATGAAGACCAGTTAAGGCCCATACAGTTGGATAGTATGAACAAATATATTGAATGAGATCTTCTAAGTGAATAGATAAACTACTAATGTTATAAAGCAACAATGAGAAGGAAGATTGGTGAGATGATTTAGATGTATGACGAGTGGACCAATCTTGGATAAGTGCTGATAATGAAAGTGATGTTTGCCATTCATAGAGTATTGACTGAGCTTTCCGAGCTTGGTAATCCGAGCTTAAATAAAAAGAAAAAAAAGATTCATCATAATTGAGAGATTTTCTGATTTGGAGATTCGTCAAAGGTTCGAATTCTGTTGCATGTGGATTCATCATTGAAAATAATCATTTTGTACAAATAAGTTTTTATTGAGATTCGATTCGAGTGATAGTTGTGATAAAGAGATTGAATGTGGTTGATGACATGTAGATGTAGTCAATGAACATAAATTTGATTGAGCCTGAGTGCGAATGAGAAGTGGAGAAGAAATAGATGTATTCGAAGTAACATGTGGTATTGATGATGTTTTATGAGTAGTTGAAAGATCACGTAGAAAAGAAAGTTTTGTTTTTTGTTGGTCAGTTGCTTGAATTATTTTCTTTTCACTTAATTTATCATATACATTAACCAGCAATTCCGACATAGAGAACAAATAAGGTACAATTTGAGTTTCAATCATTTGAAGTGAAGAAAGATGTTGTTGCATAGCTAAGTCAGATTTTTGTTCAATGCGCAAGATTTTGTCGATAAGAATATCGTGTGATTTAGTAATTTCGTCTTTTAGTGTTTTAATAATGACAGATGATTGATCAGTTTGTTCGAATTTTGATGGTTCAGGTAATGCTGTAGATTGTGTATTGGAATTAACATGAGATGACATTGTTTGCAAAACAGTTGAATATAGGCGAGCTGAAGAAGGTAGATAAGGAGTAGCTGTAGATTTAGAAATCATGCTTGTAGTCTGTTGTTGCTGTCGATTTTTGCGATAAGATATTTTAACCGGACATTGAGGTGCTCCTGCTATGTGAGAACCTGCACAATTAGCACATTTAATAGGATTTAAACAATTTGGATTGTAAGCATGAATTTCTCCACATTTATAACATTTTGGTTCATTCATACAATTATGAATTTTATGCCCGAATTGCTGACATTTAAAACATCGATCAATTTGAGTAAGCGGTTTATAAGTTGTTGCTGTATACCGGATGCTATCTATGTAAATATAGCCGTTTTTAAGAATCAAATTAACATCATCTTGAGAATGAAAATCTATTCGAACTTTAGTAGTAGGTTGATCATCACGAAATATTCTTGTAACACGATCTGTTGATGTATAACGTTCAGCAATAAGAGGATGAATTGTATCTACATTCCATTCACGAGGAATGCGATTTACAATAACAGAATATGAAACAGGAATTCGACGAGGCAAAGTAACTTTAAATGATAAATTACAAATTAAATTTGGCCATGAACTATTCTCGAAAAGCATTTCATAAGTTGATGAATCATTTGCAAAGAGTAACAGTACATTATGTGATTGAATATATTTGGAATAAAAAGCTGTACTGATATTTAATTTATGATTTTGTTTAACAAGATCATTTAACACTTGTATTTCCGGTGGTTTTTGCTGATTTTCAAATTCTATTTTGAATGGTGGTAGATGTAATTGGTTATTTCTTTCATTAATATTGTTGTTCAGCGAAGCATTTGTCGGATATTGTGCTTGTGTTCTTCGTAGTCCTTGAAAGTTCTTTTTAGTAGATAATGGTTTAAGTTTTGTTTCAGCTTTTCCAAATGAAAAGTATGAATGAACTCCTTCAGTAGTCACGTCTGAACAAGTGATTTGTTGTTGTTGAGTATCTGTTGTTGATGTTGTTGTAGCTTTTCGTTTTTGAATTTTGTTCGCCTTTTTATATCTTACTGTTTCCCAATCTTCATCATTTTCACTTTCATCTGACTTTTTTATTAATATGTTGGTATTTGTATTGATGTCTGAATGTTCTACTTTTTTATTTTCATTGTTGATTTCATTAATTTGTTTTCCAGTTTGAATCAAAGTTTTGGACTTCGTAGAGAGTCCATTGGTGGAGAATAATGAGACAGACTTTTTCTCTACCTTTCCCATCACCTCTATGATGAGTTAATTGAAAAGGATTATTGAACTTTTCCAATAATTTGTTTTTTCTTTGATTTAATTAATAAGATAAGAATATTTGTTAATAAAAACACGTTCAAAATTTAGCGCAGAAAAAGAAGAGATGAAACTTTTCAATGTATGGAGGTACCTGTAAAATTGTCGGTACCTACAGACACCGCCAACTCTGAAAAGGCTAGAGTTTGAAATTGATATTATTTGCACATCCTTACTGTGTCTCGCTTTTCGTGGAACTCATATATATTTTCGAAGAAAATAGTGAGTGTAAGTTTTTCAAGTCAAGTTTTCGCGGCTTCCACCTCGTCATTACAGACACTTAGTCGTCGACAATAATAGGCGTCTGATTTTCAAGAGTTTTATTTTTGAAATTGATCAAGTTATAATTTTGAAAAATAATGAACATCATGATTTGTAAGTTGGTTAATATAACTATATGATGGTGCGTAAGATCTGCTGTAGACATCATGAATATGTAAAACAGAGTTGTTTGTCAATAATTTCAATAATCATAATAATAAGAACGTTAAATTAAGAAAAACGAATTTAAAAAAAATGAAAAATAATGAGCGGATAGCAACAATGAAAAGAAAAAATAGGGCCTCCGTAGAAAGAAATAAAAAAATTCCCTTCGAAATGCACAAATTAGAGAGGTTCTTATTTCAGTGATTGATTATCCTGCAAAACAATTATAATCTACAAGAGATTTTTCACTTCAGGTTTTTTGTATTAGTTTAATGAGTCTACAGAGTATATGTGAGTTCCACATTTCAGTCCCAAAGGGGCTGCGCTAACAACCTTTTTTTATTCAGCTGAAGGGTAGCCTTTCTTTTGGATACAGACAGCCATAATCACTTTCACCTTTACTTATAGTCAACCCCAGATTGATTAACAACATCATACATTTTTAATAGATTAGGAATTGATAACAAATTAACTTTCATTTGTTTTCATTGTAATCGCGTCGCTACCATTTGACAATCGATAAATAGAAGCATGTTTTTAGTCACTTAAAGTGAATCTTTTGTGAATTTTACATGGATTATTTTTTACATGAGAGTGTGTTCGCAGTTGTTACAGGTAGGCATTGTAGCTATCTCTTTAATGGAGTTAGTTGCTAATTCAGAACGATTCTAAATTACGCCAAGCAATTTTGACTTGAAATCGATTGTTTATTAGAGAAGACATTTTTAAAGTGAACTAAAAACTATACTTTGTTTTACACTTCGGCTCACTAGAAGTACCTTTGAAAGTGAACAGTTTTTGTTCTACCCTTATCAGTATCAGATCTAGGATTTCGGTATATGCTGGATCTCAGCTTCAGAGCATGGGATCTAGATGAAACTAATAGAGGATGATATTGGATCCATATGATGACTATTTATGAAAAAAATTGCCATTGATGTTTGCAAATATTTTTTCATAAAAAATCATCATATGATTCCAATATGATTCCCCATTAGTTTCATCTGGATCCCATGCTCTGAAGTTGAGATCCAGCATATACCGAAATCCTAGATCTGCTACTGATCCCTAGTCTCACATACTCTCAAATACAAAGAAGGATGACACCTCTGTGCTAATGGAAAGTTGAAAATTCTCTTGGATTTGTCAATAAGAGACGTTTTACTGCAGTCATGTAGATTGAAGTCAGTGACTAGCAAGACCTTTTTTGAAGATTACTACTTATTTCTATTGTATTTTTCCCATGACATCGACGTGAAAAAAAATACGCAGGCCTAAACAGATAGACCCAGGCAGGCTAGGAGGGTTGTAAGTCTGTCACAGGCAGGCCAGGCCTTCAAAAAGTGGACCTGTTTGAACCTCTGCTACATACAGTTATAAGAAACAATGAACAGTAGTTTCAGTGCATTGACTGAAAATGATAAAGAGGAGAAGGACAAAATACGTGCATGTATGCTCGTTTAACAAAGGTAAAAATAGAAATCGGGACTATAATAATCTTTGAATTGTTTATTATTAATTATTAACAAAAATGAACATAATTTTACTTCAAAGCCTGATAATAAAATTATGACAATTACAAAAAAAAATTTTTATTTCATTAGATGTAAATATTTTAAGAGTATAAAATATGTAAAATCTGTCAGCGAGAGACACAAAGAGAATGGAAACATGAAATAGATAACATTGGCACGTTCAACTATCATAAATATTTTTTATGCTATATTTAATGATCGATTTGTTAGAATATTTTTTTTTAAAACTTCATGACTTTTTTTTAAATACAACGTACTCAAAAAAGCAACCAATTCTACAAAATGCACATGAATCCATTATATCATCATCAAAGCCAACTACCTGTATTGGATAGAATGAATGAATCTGATCCAAGATTAATACCAATTAATGATTCGCGTAAAACTTTTCGAATAATCTTTATTTTAGCTATTATTATTATTATAATCTTTGGTATGCTTGTGGTTTTATATATTATTCGACAGAGTCCTACTTCGAAAACTATTCTTGTTGAAGGAGAAAAAACAAACGAGCATGAAAAGGAAATTTTTGATGATTGTATTAATATTCTTTCGGAATATCTTCTTCGTTTCGATTTTAATCAAAGTAATCCTGATCATCTTCAACCAATTTATAGAGAAGTAATCAATACTCTTCATTATCTAAGTTCAATATATAAACATGATCTTATTTTATTTCTCTATATGCATCGATTAATTCGTACTGATATTCCATTCGAACAACGACTTAAGTTACATAATGCTAATTTAACTAATATTCAATTTAAAAATATCAATCTTAATAATTTATATTTACCTGGTGTAATTGCATTCAATGGTCTTTTTTCTCATTGTCAATTAAAACAATCAAATTTTCAAGGAAGTATTATGGATAAAAGTCGTTTTATTAGTTGTTCATTAGAAGAATCGACATTTTCAGGTATTTATTTATATGTTTATGTATAATTTATCTGATTGAAATAAAATATGCTTATTTTAAAAGGTGCGTCATTAAAACAATCTTTGTTTACAAATGATAATGATTTATCTAATGTTGATTTTACAAATACAGATTTATTTCACAGTCATATTAATATTAATGGACTTAATAATAAATGCCTTATAATTAATACACGTTTACCAAATGGATCTTTTTTTAATATTGATTCAAAAGAATTAATTAATGATGGTGGAGGTGAACAACAAGTAATTATACCTTTTGTCTTCTCTTTTAATTGATTGAATTTATTTTTTCGATTTCTTTACTAGTGTAATACTTTACGAAATGATCGATGGCGAAATGAATCGGAATATCCATCTTTGACAATAGCTCATAGACAAAATAATTCATGCATTGAAATGACAACAATACCTGAAAATAATTGTTATTTTCAAGCGAATTCAACTAGTCGATTTATTCAAGATATTGATTTAAATCAATATTCAACACTTATTGATAATAATCAAGCTTGGTATAATGTATCAGGTTATTTAGGTTGTTCTAGTAATAATTCAAGTGATTGGGCTACAGTTGAAATTCGTTTTGCTAATGATCAACAACTTTTTGAGAATAATCCAATACATGGTAATGATCTTTCTAATTATTTTTTTTCTTTTCTTATCTTTAATTTGTTAGTTATTAACTATGGAAAATCATGGAAATTATTTTCAAATAATTCATTAATTCCAATTGGAATACGTACAGTTCGAATTATGATTGGAGCTTATATTACAAACTCATCGAAAGGCTCACTTTCATGTTGTGCAATTGATGATATTAATTTTAATATATTTTACAAAGGTGAAAAGAAATTAACATATTCGTAGGAATATCTTTCCTTTTAGAATACAAATTGATTGATTCTCTATTGCATTTCTTTATTGAATTTCAAGAACTATTTTTTCTTATTGTTTTTGTGTTTGTCTTGTCATAAGGAAATAAATGTTCTTAAATTTGAATTCATATCTTTAATTTTTTCACATAACTTATCCATTAATTATATTTTTGAGTTTTTTTTCTTTAATACTGTCAAGAATACTTTATGTCGATCTGTGGCTTAGGTTTTATTCTTTCTGAGAATAAAAAAATATTTTTTAAGCATGAAAGTTAAACACTAACATCACTATGAAATATGAGAAATTCAAGAGTATTCAATATTAAATATATTTTATCACGTAATGATAAAATTATGCTGAACGTGATGTACACAGAGTAGGCTACCAATACGCATTATGAAAAAAAATTAAAATATTTCTGCTTTTATTTAATCAAATGCACTAAGTTTTTGCTTAGTAGTAGAAAATTATTCGAGTCTTTTTTATATGAGTAATATAGACAAATACTACTGTCAAAAATTAAAACTAATCTCGATGAAGAAACTTTATCTGTTGTCAAATAAGAAGAATTCATGTAAAGCAATATATAGATGTAAAATATATGCCCGATAATTCAAATACGCTGCTAAAACCATTTCAGTATCAAGTCACTAACTTCCTTCGGAAAAACAATACCGTGTGTGGCAGAAACTTTGCAAAAGTTTTGTTTTTCGCTTTGTATGTAACTCTGTTCAGAAACATCATAAAAATTTGGCCTTATTCTCAAAAGATGCGCCATTGAATATTCTTCTCGAATCTCAAAATCTTTATAGCTGTTTTTCGAAATTATAACTGACTGCTAACATAGAACAATTGTACTATCATGTAATTTCCTACAAGAAAAACAATAAGAGAAAGCCGGAAATTGTTGAACTTTGGTTTTTATATTTATTTTTCATTAATTTTGGTTGAAATGTTTGGAGCCCGTCAAGTACTTAGTGTGACTCTCAAAGCATAAGATTTGTTGCTCATCTTCATTTCAAATACAAGTGAAAAATAACGTTCTCATAAATTGATCTGAATGCTTCGTTCTGAAACAGAACGTTTTTTTTTTGCTATGTTGCTCTCAAGTAAATTATCTAAAAACGGCGAGCTCAATGCACAAATTGCTAGACTAAACTTGTTCGAATGTTGAAAGAAATAGTAAAACAGAATTAAGCTTAATAAAATAATACAATGAGAACTTGAATTCAATTGAAGATGATGAAAATACACTGAGAAGAAAATAGTACTGATCTCATAGGAAGTAGTGCTCGAGTGATGAATATTTTAGATTTTTTACACTACCTAGGACAGTTCATTTTATCTAACATTGATTTGATTAACAATAAATTTAGTTGCCAGTCATAAAATGAACTTTTCTGAGTTTTTCTTAGAGGAAATAACACGATAACTGACTTATTTAGTATGGTTCGAAAAAAAAGATCAATGTTTTATCATATTTTTCAACAGAGTTACATTCAAAACAAAAAATGTCGCAAAACTTTTGCTACACCCGATATTTTATGATTGAGATTGAGATATATTGTAATTGTTAACTATTAAACTAACTGATTCTGAAAATTTGTTTCATGTACATCAATATTATATTATTAATAAAATTTATTTTGATTTCTTTTTGTTATTATCTTAGGTAGCAACTGAAAATTATCTATGCATTGTTTTGATTATATCTTTCTTACTTAAAAGTAGTATCTGTTTACATTATTCGCATGAAAGAAACACTTTAAATAAGCTTTTATCATTAACCACAAACTCAGACCATTCAATTGAACTGAAGCGGCGATATTTGAAGTTTTTATCGTCATGCATTTTTATGGTCTACCCTTGTTAGAATCTGTTGGATTGGTCCTGAATCCGATGGGCTCTACTTCTTGTATACTGTTTTTTTTACTCTACACAACAAATTTTGAATAACAGCATGTTGTGATCATTGATACGCTACTTGAATAATTTATTTATTAAATGTATTAATATAATTAGAAAAAAAGATTGAATTTGGTGGACCTTTAATAAATGTTTCATATTGATCAGAAAAAAACGGAGCTAATCCAAATGATTGAGGATCAAGTTTTATTTGAATTTTACCCCGTTGGGTATTTATACTTTGTATAATCATTGAAGTTTTTCTATTGTCTTCTTCATTATTATGCATATCGTTTTTCGAGATAGTTGTAAAAGTAGGTCCCATAGGAAATCGTTGATCACGGATATTTTCACAATTATACATTGGAATACAAATAGCTGGAGATAATGCATTGTTAAGATCTTTTAATTTTAATGGATCAATACCAATCATGGCTGTATTTAATGCAAACTATAAATTTATATGAAAAATAATATTAATTTGTTTTCTTTTTTTGTACCTGTTTCATTTGTTCAGCGTCACGCATTATTTGTCGAAGAGAATCTAGACATCAAAAATAAATTTTTGAAAAAGTTATAATAGAAAAATGATAAAAACTAACAATGATAAAAATTACAACAACAATTGTTACATTGTTCAATGGGAATGACTTCATTAGATTGTTTCTTTGATGATTTGAAAACGTCATTTAACTTTAGTCTACTCTTTTTCTTTACAATCAAATAATACATGAAAAGTTTTTAATTTAATTTTTATATTCTCATGAACCTTTTTGCTTTTTTGTTTTCCTAAAGAAACTATAAGTAAGATTTTTTAAGAATCATAAAAGTTAATTACCATGTTTAGATGATGTTTTAGATTTAATATTTTTGCTAATTTTACCGATATATTATTTTTCATGATATCTTAATAATAAACTTACATTGAATTAATTTGATTGCGTTTATGGCCTATTAAAATATTAATTAAATATCTTTCATTAGAAATAAATTACTTTTGCTAGATTTTGATGTTTTGCTTCTGCTAGAAGAAAATTTGTGTTGTCTTTATCAAATAACCAATGGTATCTCTGATTTTTTTACCTAGATTTCTTTTTATTCGTCTTAGTTTTCATTGATGTTTTTGAATTTTCTATGAAAATTAATATACAAGAAACAAAAAAGATTATTTTATTATTGCTGACTCTTTTGTTTCGCTTTTGTTGCTGATATATTGGTATTTTGATTGTTTGGATTATTAGGAAAATTATGATTGAATGATTTACTTGAAGAAGAAGATTTGCTTTCGTCTGCATCAATTAATGCACCTATTTCTGTTCGAACAATATTGACAAGTTCACGAATATTCTTGGAAAAAGAAAAGCAACATATTCGTTTTTATTTATCTTTGTCATTCTCACTAGTTCATTATATAGTTGTTTTGTATCAGATTTCGTTTCAGAAAACGACACGGAAAATTCTTGTTGGTCTTTCTTGGATGAAGTTGGATCTTTTGAACTATTATTAATAGCGATTGCTGTCGTCTGTGAAAGTGAACTATATCGGGGAGATTTTTGTGTTTGATCTAGACTATGTAGAAGATGATTATATTGAGTAATTTATGATTAAATAAATTTAAGTTACGAGAATATTAATTTTCTCTAATGCAAAGGAAAAACGACGTACTCTCGTACATCCTCCTAGATTACAAGAGTACAGTGAAAGTATGAAACTACACTTAGAGTGGAATGAAAGCATGTTAAGTATAGTAAGAGAATCGTGAGAGTACGTGAAGTATGAGAGCATGTCATTATCCTCTTGGATTTAGATCTAGGTTTTTCTTAGTTATAAAACTATACTTCCATGGTACTCCGTATACTCCCACCATATCCCTGTACTTCTAAAGTATAGGGAGCACCAGAGTACGTCAGCTCCACTTTGCTCTAAAGGCACGAAAAGATAGTCCTAGGTTTTCATGTGTTTTCTGTTTTTCACAGTATAGAAACTGATCTAATCTTTCATGGAAATCTAATATAAGAAAATAGCATAATTCATTAGTACTAAAATTAACTTTGATCATTATTGTAATGAAAATGATTATCTGAAAATTGCTTGTGTGCACGAATGTTCGGATAATGATCAATATTATGTGTTTCATTATCTGTGTTCAAATTATGGCTCTTTTGTTTAATTGTTCGGAATGATTGTTGATTATGGATGACATCATTGTAATGAATTATCTTAGTTTTTCGACGACAGCATAGATTTTTATGATAATTCCCATTTTGTTTGTTAGATAAGAGTTGAATTATTTGAAAAGTTGAATGTTTTAATGGAAAGTTTTGCTTATGAATTTGATGATTTTTTGTAATGAAATAATCGAATGTTTGTTCATTTGACATTGGTAATGATTTAAGATCTTGAATAAGATCAGGAATAATAGACTGGTTTTCTTTTTCTTTCTAAAATATTTATATATTTGTTATAATCAATAGGATTATATTTTACATACTTGTTTCTCATTGTGAATATCAATTGTTTGTTTAGAAGTTCGTAATACATTATATTTATTTGATAATAATTTTAAAAGAAAATTTTTCATACCTCATCATGAAATCATTTTTAAAATATGCGCATTTTTTTAATTCGTTTTTTGTACTTGTTCGAAAAAAAGGTTTATTCACTACAAGAAAAAGTCTGAAAAATCAAGATTTTTCGCACTGATGTGAAAGATATAAATTTATTTCCGTCTGAAATATCAAGCATATTAAAAAAAAGACATACATTCTTTTCAATGAAACATATTGCAAGATTCAGTTTTCAATAAAGTAGATTACAATTTTATGAATGCAAACAAACAGTATGAAATGAGTATTATTTAACGTGTGATAATTGTTTTCTTTTAATTTTTAATGAATAAATATTTGAATGGTAATATATAAAAAATAATGTTTTGAATTATAACAGGTTATCAAAAGTTAATTTGACGGATTGCTCGATTATTTTTCAATCACCTAAAGAAGCCTGTAGAAATTTCAAAACATGGATCATTTAGTAACCATCAAGGTTTAAATAGTTACTGTCATGTTTAAATAATGGAAGATGTTCAATCGCTAGTTACACGTAGAAGTACAATATAAGACTTGTGTTAGAAATAAATCAACTATTTAAATTATACACTAGCAGTAATTTTTAAATAGCGCTAGACTTTAAGTACTTAGTTACATACATTATTAACTATTCATTTATTAAGTTGCTACCGTATCAGATATCGTAGTTTTTGACTTCAATATCGATACGAACGCTTTAAAAAACACATTTGCCAACTAAATCAAATCAAATGTTCAAAAAACTCATTTCTAAATACTATCGTTTCGATAAAGTGAGCATCTTGATGTTCGAAAATAGTCGGAAAGAATGGGAACGTCTGCCAAATGTAATTTTTGTTTAGCTGAAGAAAAAAAACACAAATTCTCGACAGTGAGAAACTATAGACTCTCATACATCTTTCCTTTTAGCTCTCTCCAAATCTATTAGCACACGTAAAAAAAAAGAAGTTTTTATGAATCGTCTTTTTGAACACATAGACAGAGTAAAATATCTTGGTAGCATTCTAAAAAAACGATAGATATTTATTTCTTCACACTGCAGGATGTAGTTTCCCCAACTGATTCGGTAAGAGGTCCGATAAAAAATGCGAACACGACAACTACACTTCAAACGGTAAAGAAACTAAAAACTCCAAGACTCCATACGACATCAACATTTGTTCTTCGACAGCAATACGGACACCAGAAGTCAGACTGTCTTTTAGAAACATTAATATAACAATTTTGTTTTTACAAACTATATACTAGCAAAATGTTTCATTATCAAAAGAAATATTTTAAGAAAGAGTTTCATCATGCTTCATATCTTATTCTTCTAGTTATCCCATTGGCAAGTTTGCATTTCTTTGAAAGATGAATTATTTTTATGTTTGCAGCGTAATATTAGCGCCTTTTATGCATATACTCTATTTTGATGAGTATAACAAGTGAAACACCAAATTTAGAAGAAGATATTACTTTAAAATTACAATTAGTTTCCTTTCTAGTTGATGGTGTTTTATTCGAATTAAGTGAAGAACTTATTCAAAAACGAGCATCAAATTCAATACTAGCACGTGAAGATCGTCGTGCACAATTCTATGACGTTGATAAAAATGCTTATGTATTTGATCAACCAGCTGATGCATTTGAAGTTCTTGTTTATTTTATATCCACTGGCCTTTTATCACGACCAACTAATATAAATAATTTAAAATTATATTCATTATTGTCTTTTTTTGAGATGGATGAAACAATTATGAATACTTTTAAAAAAATGGAACATCTTGTGTTTGAAATCAATTGGGAAAAAACACAATGGTTTGTGAAATTTGCAACAAATTTTCTTTTTAAATTAAATACTAAAGTTAACAAACATATAATAACAAAAAAATTTTACAAACAAATAACAGTATTATTACTGAAAATCGAGATGACTGTCTACTAGTCAGCGAAGAATGATAAGGCTTACCTATTGAATGAATACTATTTTTGGAGAAATAGTAGGTATCTGTCAAACGATGTAATTTCAAATATTCCTTTTAACGTTGTGCAAAATCCGTTCGTTTGACTATTTCTTACGAACGAGTTGAAAACATCACAAAAAAAATCATAAAATAAAACTTATAAACTTTAGATCCAGTTTATTTAGAAAGATACAGTATTTCTTGTTGAGATGTTCACTATCACCTCGGGACATTCATCAAACCAGAATTTCTAGTGTCTCAGTGTATGCATAACTATTTTTGAGACACTGGTACCAGTGTTCCATGAAGCATTGAAACGCATTGTTACAAAAAATGGCATGTTTTGGTAGTTTGTGTCTTAATATTGCAATGAATATGAATACCAGTGTAATCAGTGGATCTAGTGTCGGTGAGTCACTATCAGTATTTACAACAGCACTACACATTGTTAGATTTTCCAATTTCTTGAATATATAACACAATTAGTTCAACTTAACAATCAAATGTATTTACAGAATCCCTAAAATAACTGAGGATAATTGTCAATGGCAATTATCATATACTTTTTCTTCATATAGAAGATTGAAATTTTTATCACATATATATCTAATCAAAATCTTTAGTTTTCCAAAGTTTTAGCTCTTTAACTAAAAGTAATGCTTATATGCATGGATAAGATTAAAATACATGAATTTTCGTACCTGATTTTTGTGACATTTTTATTTCTTGACCAGGACTATTTGTAAACATCTGATAAAAAGTTAAAATGATTTAAATTCCATGCAAAATATTTACAATAATTGTCTGTTTTCGAGATTGATGAAAATTTAAGATAGAATTTGTCATTAAATCTAAAAGATTTTCGATATAAATGCGTTCATATATACTGTTGCGATTGACTACGTAATAAAAATATTACAAAAATCTCATACAATAATTCATGTATGTTAATCTTGTTTACACATTACGGCACTAGCTTCAATCAGAGAGCGGAAACTTTGAAAAATTAAAGATCTTGATTAGATATAAAGTTGTCACAAAAAAATGTTCGTACGATTTCAATAACGTTGATATTTTTCCTTCTTCATGGTTTCAAAAAATTTAATTATTAAGTCATTAGATGCAACAACAGAATTTCTTAGGAAATCGTAAGCGGGATTTTTTTTTGTTCAAAATATCATTTCAAATGTGCGTAATAATGACAAATGTATATATATATTTCTGTTTTTTGTTTGACAGTTATAATGAAAATGTTTGAGAGACTACTACAATGTGAAAACTCTTTTTTTCAGATAGCAACTCAAAAGGTTATGTTGTTAAAAAATATCAAATAATATCTTGAAATGGAAAACGACATCAATATTGCACCGATTCTCCTTTCTGTTCGATGAATTCTTGTAATCGACTTTCTACAGAGTCAATTAGTTTCTTCGTAACTTCACATTCTAGCTCAGTGGGAAGTCGATTACAAGAATACATCAAACAGAAAGAAGAACTATTGCGATACTGATATCATTGTCGATCTCAAGATATTGTTTGATGTTTTCGAACAATATAACGATTTCATTTGTTAACAGAAATATTTAATATTGTCATTATTACACACATTGGAAATAACATTTTGGACACAAAATTGCAGTTTGCGATTTTTTGATAAAGATATCTCAGAATAAGCATTTGTAATTGTTGGACTAACTACAGTAGTGAACAAACCTTAGCTTCCACACATAGAGGAAACCTGAAAATTTGTGTGTACACATACTCTATCAAGAATATAGATCAGAAGTGTGCGATCGCCCCGATAGATTAAATGCAACAAGAATTATGATGGACAGCACCTATTTTTGCTTCAAGCTTTTTAACCTGAAAAGTTTGTCTAGTAAATTTTGCGTTACCTTAAATCAAATACATGACTAATTATTGAGATTTTTATTTGTGATTAAAGCCTAGCATATGATCTGTTGTCACTCAAAATATCATTTAATTTGCTGTAAGATTGCTGTCTTTGAGCTGTCAACGCCAACACGGTTATTCTTGGCATGCTGATTTTCTTTAGAAGAAGTTCTTTTCTGAGACTTGCAAGTAATTATGTTCAACTATAGGCAAAGTTGATTTAAAATTTTGAGCTCGATTCATTGAAGTATTTCTGAGTTACAGTGTAGAAAAGGCATAAGAGAATTTTTCGTCCCTAGAATAATCACAGTAAAATTACCACCGTTCTAGCAAGATCACATTGACTTCGACGAAATTAATAGCGTGATTAGCTGAAACATAGATATAAATAATGAGAAATCGATTAAACCATAAATTCTTTTCTTTTGAGAAATATAAAATTCAAAGGAAAAATAAGTCTTATCCAATACCATTCATCCTAATTCCCATAGTGTTTAAGCAATCTGGGCAATCTAATGATTTTGATATAAACCTTTGATGAATAATGTGCACACAAATTTTCAGACGTTCAGTACCTATGGTAACTGAAATCTGATAAGAGAAGGGACGAGACACTTTTGTCCACTAGCGTAATTTTGTTTTTTTAATAGAATTGAGTTATGAGTGTGTAACTTGTTCTATCGTGTATCTAATGACTTTATAATTAAATTTTTTGAAATCATGAAGAATGAAAGATATTACCATTATCAAAAAAATCTCATGAATGATTTATTCTCAGTTATTATGGGATAGCCTATATCTCAAGAATGAATAGATTCTATTAAAATATTCTTCTTTTCAGTTCAACTAACTCATGGATTTATATTTTATTTGCACTTCCATTTTCTTCTAAGGCAAAAATAATCAATACGTTTTTCTTTGCAATGACAATGATTTCTTATGGTAATCTTTGTTTTGAATATACATTTGCTTTACCATTATTTCACTCGATACCATCATCAACAGATAACACAACAATGATTTTAACAATTATTGGTCTTGATTTTACTCCTTCAACAGAATATTTATCTTATTTACCTGAAATAATCTATTTAATTATTCTTCTTATTGAATTTTTCATTCGTTTTATATATGTCTCAAATAAATTAAAATATTTTTCTAATTATTTAACAATAATTGATTTATTATCTATATTAAGTTGTATCATTTATTTATGTTCAATAATTAAAATAAAAGAAAATAATCTAATTATTCGTTTAATAATTTCTTTTCGTCTTATACGTATATTAAAATTAAGTCGTTATTCAATGTATATTCGTCAATATATTCAAACAATATGTTATTATTATGATATATCAATTCTTCTTTTTATTATATTTATTTGTCTTTGTATATTTTTTGGTAATTTAACTTATGGAATATCTTTAATTGATCATCATCAAATACATTCAACTCCACTTGATTCTCTTTATTATTCATATGAAACAATATTAACTATTGGTTTTGGTCAACATATACCGTCAACACCATATTTAGCATGGATTACAATAATATCTATTTTATTTGGAATGATGTGTCTTTCATTACCGGTACCTTTTTTAGCAATCTATAATTTTAATTTAGATAATTGTGAACAAGAAAATATTAAGATGTTAAGTTAGGTTTTTTTTTGTATACAATATTATGCTGTAATAGCTGATGATGATACAGTTCGATGACGTAAATATGATAACGATTGATCAATTGGATCAAAATTTGTTGGATTTTGTGATTGTTGTTCAATATGATAACATTTAGCACTAAAAGAAAGAACAAAATATAATGCAAAGACAACGATGAAAGAATTGTTTTTTTTTTTTTTGGTCATCAAAATAAACCTTGCTAAACGTCTAACAGGAGAATCAATATGTGTTTGATCATGCATTTGCCAAGAAAGTGCAGATTGTGATGAGCGACCATTCGAAAGAGGTGTTGCTGTACGATGATAATAACGAAAACCTTGTTCAGAAACTACTTGACGAGGATCAGGAATTTTTTGTGTGTGACTTCGATATCCTATAGATGATAGTGTACGACGTTCATTTATCCATTTATGATAAGGAAGAAGAGTTGGATCCGATAAAACTATTGTGTGAATCTTATAGAAGAATAAATAGCATACAAAGCGTGCAGTGAAAAATTAATCTATGTTCTACCTCTTCAGTTTTGTCATCATATTGCGCCATAGCATCATATTCATGTTTATCATAATCATCTTGAGTGATAAATCGCTATTAATTAATAAAAAATAAACAATAATGTTTGTTTTTTTCATTTATAAATTCTTTTCTTTTTTTTTTGTATCTTACAAAACTAGAGTTTATTTTTCTGAAAAGTGATAGATTGATTTATTAAAACATAAATTAAAAGTTTAATAAAGAAAGAAATAGTATGTAATACGAGATTTAAAACAATCACTTTTAATGTTCAGATTTGTAAAGATATTTTCTAAGAAGATTTACAATATTTAACTCAACAACGTTGTTATCTCACTCTTCCTTACTCCTACTCTAGTTGGAAGAGATTGTAGGATAAGATTTTTTTTTTCTTTCCTATACTTTGATCAACAATGACAGATTTTGCACTGTTAGAAAAAAAAACAGTAAACATATGTGGGTTTGATTAAAAGTCATACTGACAAATTTAATACATTAGCTGCCCAAGACATGCACCTAGCGACATAACGGATGTTTTAAGTATTGACAGTGTATATGAAATATCCACAAGAGAAAATTTTGGCATTATTTATTTCTTTTTCTTTTTTCTCATAATGGTTAGGACGAGCTTGTTGAGTCGCATACGAGATAGTATGCTTCAAAGTTAAAAATGAATTTTAAAAGATTTCATGCAAGTCAGAACTTTTTGGTCTATTTTCCTTATATGTAAAGATAATAGGACTTTGAATCTTTTTCATTAATTTTTTTTATGCATTCTTTTTTAATTTGTTTTATGCTTCTCGATGACCTCTATCCAACCATCACAAAAAAAAGAACAATAAATATTGTTAATATTTTTATTTGTGGGTATCTTTCATATATGATATATACCTGAAAAGTTCATTATAACATTCAATGCATACCATGGGCAGGTCATATTTTAAATTTGATATTTTGTCAGTGAGAGCTTTAGTTTGATTCACATTTGTCTAAATGCTCTTTTCTAACAATGCCAAACCTTTCTTTGTACGAGAAATTTTCTAAACTCTATTCTATTCTTCCTTGCAGGATAAAGTAAACTAACAGTGTACATCTTTATTTATCTTTTTTGTTGAGATTTATATACTATGATTCAGCAACAAGAAAATAACGAGTTTCGGAAGGAAATAATTTTAATAGCTTCAACAGAGTTTTGAAAAAAAAAGAACGGTTGGCATTTAAACGCATAGATATACAACTGTTAAGGTGTCCCTTAAAAATTGATCTTGGGTTAGATACATTTATATCGCATGAAATTTTGAGAATATGTCAGAGCTACAGTGGAAAGACTATGGTAAAATTGTCAGCGCTTTACCATAACGCTCTCAGGGAATATTCAATAAACAAAGATCAAAAATAGGTCATTTCACAACCCAAAATTCTCTGTGGGCTTTCATTCTGCATACTTAATTGTTGTTTGTTGGAAGAACTATGTTAGAATGTAGAGCATGATAGACCATCTTTTAATTAATTCTTACTATTTAAGCGGAGCAAAGTTCAATGCCTCAAAAAAAAAAAGCTCTGCTTATAGAAAAATCCACGTCACAAAGTTTAATTTAAGAACAGTACTCTTTCAAGCGCTGCATCTTGAAATTCTCTTTCAAACAAAAAACAAACATTAAAAATATAGATTGAAGAACTGCAAAGAAGTCTGGGTTGTGCAACTAAAAAAACATTAACAAAGAACGCCTACTTTTTCTGAAAAAAAAAACATTTTTCAAACAGAAGGTGATAGAAATCATCAAAAATGAAGTACCAAATAAACAAATCATGTCGTTAATAAAATATCAAACTTCGGAGTATATTTCCATGCATTTATTCTAACTGTTGTTTTGTTGTAAATAAAATATGAATAAACATTTTTTTGTTTCTATTTATATAGGTTTATCTCTTTTGAAGAATTTGTGTTTTTCGATTAATTCTTTTACGTTTGAATGGATAAAAATATTGCATTTTTAAAAGTGTTTATCACATGTAAGAAGTATATAATGTCAAAGGACAAATTTTTACAGAGCTTTTTCAACTACTCGGAAATTTTTTTTTTTTTTTTACATTACCATTAACATTTAAACAATCAATTTTCAACTTCCTATTTTAGTCTTGTGAATTGACATTATTTAAAATAGCTTTAAAAATTTCCTGTTTCAATTATTCATACAACGTTGAATGTGTTTGAATACTTTTTTTTTAAAAAATTAATATTTTGATTTTGTGTACTAAAATATTTTTCAAAAATAAATATAACATGAAATATTATTAAGCTTACATGTTTATTAATAAATTGTAGATATTGATTATATTGTTGAGCTTTAAATCGATTTCGATCTATACGTGCTTTTTCCAAACGTTGAAATTGTTTAGTTTTTGCCACTAAAAATGGTTCACGTACATTACAACGATAATTTCGATAGATAAATTCTCGACGACGAAGTGTTTCAAAATCATATTTATTTATTAATTGTTCATAATCCTATAGGGAATAAAATATTCTTTTTCAAAAAAAAACACAAAAGTTGAGGTTTATATATATATATATATATATATAATTTATTATGCCAAGCAGTAATGATGGAAAAAAAGGCAAATGTGCTGAATATTTAGAAAGAAATGTGTATAGGTGAGCAAAATATGTATATATTCAAACATAATGAACATGCGTTTTGTTCAATGGAAGGTTCATCTAAAGATTTGTGATTACTACGTTAGACTGAGTCTGGTTTCTTAAATGAAAAATAAGATATGAATATATTTACTTTCATAAGGTCTTGAGTTGTAGCTTTGATTTCATTATATGAACAATTTGTATTTGATTCTCCCTAAGTGATATACAGAATTAATGATTAAATTGGAAGTGTTCTTCGAATTTTTACTGTTTGAAGTTTTTGTTTTAATCTTTTCTGTTGTTCTTCCCATTCATTAACTTCAAATAATCGTTGTGCACTAGCATGACGTGATAAACGACGTTGATTATTAATTGGTTCTTGTTGTTCAATTCTATCTCCATCATTTGATAATGATGATGAACCAGTTCTTACACTTGATGATGCACTCTAAATAATTTATTTCATACAAAAACAAAGCTTTAATTTATAATAAAGCTTTTACTTGAATTCGTTTAGAATTTTGTTGAATGTAATCATTTATAAATTTTTCTTCAGGTTCAATATATTCTGTTGAATCAGATCTTTTTGTTAAATCAGTCACTATTTCCGAAGCAGCTTTTTCTGATACAACCTCAATCGAACCACCTCGTCGTGGTTGATATAATGATGGCATATTTACAACAACACGAACAACAAAAAATTCAATTTACTAGATGTTTTTTACAGACCAAACATATAATAATCTTTTTTTCTATAACAAAAGGTTGCTATGAAACATATAAACAAATCATATTCGATGTGCGACATCTTATATAGAGTTCTCACTTGTCGATTAATAATACAATACAACTTTGTTTTCAGTTCTGTTTCCTTGCTTAAGTATGCTTGAATAAAATTTAAGTTGACTTCAATTGATGTTTTTTTTTAAATTGTTGTTTTTTTTAATTACTTTTTTTTCTCAAATTTTTATATCAATTTTTTTTACTATGCTTACTGAATAAAAGATCACACATCCGGCATGTTATATGTATGATCTTTTAAATTGTGATCGTTTCTTTAAAAAAAATGACATCTAGAACATTATATTGAAAGTCTTTTCATGGCATGTTCTGTTGAATAATTTATTTCCATTTATTGTCACGCAGAACGTATTGTATGCGTAGGATGTCAGAATAGAGCTTTACTCTTGTGCCTTTTTTTACTGTTATACTTTGGAGATCGAATTACATGTATGAAAACACCTTCTACTAAATACATGAATAATAGCCAAGCAGGTTACCATAACTAGCATCAAAGTACATGTATTTTTAATTTTTTTTCTATTGGTTATTCGTCGCTTACATCTCTGTTGGTCAAATACATTCCGCCAGCGTCGACTGATGTGTTGTTTGTGATGCAAACATATCAAGAGACGTTTGATAAAAATTTTTTTTCTAACCATGTCAAATATAGACACGTACATGTTGTAGAGAACATAATTGCGACAAATAAATAGCAGACTTTATTTGTCTTTCTTCGTGTCAGAGCACCGTTTATATATTTACATCAATAACTAGAATATTAATATTCATATTTAATGATAAGAGAGAAAAACTAACAGAGACACAAAGTGAGTTGACACACTTCACTCCGTTTCTCTTTTTCTCTGTTTTTCTGTCTCTCACCTTTGATTTTTTCCTCCTTTGCTCTGCTTCCGTGCAAATTATGTCTCTAAGAAAGTTAGGAGAAGAAGAAAAAAAAAACACATACTCAAAAAATAGTATAGAAAAGAAATTTGATAGAAAAAAGAACGACAGAAAAAAAAGAGAGAAAGAAAAGGAAGATATATTTTGCTTATGACAGACATTTCTTGGTCTAATTTACTAAAGTAAGGTTGCTTTCTAACCTGCTGCGGGCAGCAGTGTATACTAAAAATCGCGGGCGATTAACAATAATTTCAATCAACATAATTCAATACTATGTCTCAACAACAACAAAGTTCATTTTGTGACGAATCGGCTGGTTCGATGAGTGATCACAATAGTTTTTATCATAATATTTATGCTCAACAAGAAGAATTAGAAGTAGCTACGGTAATAAAATAAATACTAATCAAACTCATGAAGTTTTTTTTCCTCCTTGCAGTATTTCGTCATTCTGAATATTGACAAAAAAAAATACTTTCATCATTGAATGTGTGTTTATATTTAGACATCATTAAAAGAAAAAGAAAGAGGAAAGTCTATTTTCATGTGTCTAAAGTTGACAGCAGATGAATAAGATCGAAAAACAAAGACAATTGGATTTATAATGTTGCTTTTTCGTACTTTTCGTACTAAAATGATAAATTTGACGGTTCAGACAAATATCTACACAAAAAAATTATCTATAAAGGTCTTTGTGACATAATGGAGGTTTCTTTTCTATGTGTAATGGATTAATATAAAATATTCTGTCTAAAATAACTTAGACAATAAAAAAAGTTTTTAATTTGTTTTGGAAAGCAAAAATTTAATATATTTCTACATGATTTAGCTACCGGCAAGACGTCGTGAATGTACTAATTTCTATTTTGACAAACTCTACGCAGCAACATTAGTACAACAGCCTGGAGCAAAAAATGCTATCCGAACTGGTGGAAGAAGAAATAAAAATGAAATATTAGGTTTAACACTTGCACGTTTACTCAAAGAAAAATATCTAAATGGCATTACCTATTCACGTAAAAAAAACATTCAAGATTTTTATTTGAAAAATTCTTTCTTTTTTTATTTCAGGAAATATGGAACTTTCATGTGGCATTCCAACAAATGTAAGATAAAATGAAAACAAAACAGAAAAAAATTTTCTTTTTTTTTTTATTAAATAGGTAAACAATGGTGAATTTATACTTGTTCTTCGTACTGATGGTCGTATTGTAGCTATTAGTGATGAAGCTGAACATCATTTTGGAAAATCAATGGTAAATATTTTTCAATTATAAAATCATATCAAAAATAAAATATAATTTCCTTTAGCGTTCATTATATACGCAATTTATAAATATTTTTGAATGCCTTAATAAAACTGATGGTGATAAATTACGATCGATTCTCAATTCTTCAAATGAGTTTGCTCATCAAGATCATCAACTTGTTTGTACTTTTCGTTTGCCGAAAGGTAAACGACCAAGTCGAGCAAATGAAGATGTCAAGGTAGATAGATATTTTTCATTTATTATCACTTATATAAAGTAAAAACTTTTTCTTAGACAATATCAATGGTTGGCCATCTTTATTCCTGTGATGATTCGCCAACAGGTGAAAAATTATTTATTGCTCGTTGTGAAGCTTTAGTGTCTCAAAAAACAAAAGGATCAAGTTCATCACAAACAGCTATGATGATTCATAATGATAATGTAAAATCAATGATAAAAATAACATTAAATGGAGATATGTCAATTAATACCGTTTCATCAAAGTAAAATTTTCATCTGGAAAACAAAAGAAAATGTTTAAAATTGAAATCTTTTAGTGTTAAAGAAATTCTTGGTTATACAAACAATGAAATGAGTGGTAATTGGATAGGAAGATATATACCAGAAAATGATTTGGAAAAATTTGAAAAAATTCAACAAAAATTTTGTACAAAAATATATTAAAAATTTTATATTATTCTAATATGCCCTTTTTGTTTTAGTTCAACATGAAGAACAACAACAACAACAACCAAAACCATTACCAATGAATGTTTGTGAAATACTCGATATATATACGAATTATGGTGATGGACGTTTAACATTTTCTTGTCAAATACGACTAAAACGTCAGCGACGATCAAAATTAATTGAATTTGAAATCGTTGCTCAACCTGTTGAGTAAGTTAAATTCTTTTGTTTTTTTGAAAAAATTTTCATTGAAATTTAATTAGTCCATCATTACGAGACGATTATGTTAAATATATTCAATCGGAATCAAAACCTAGTCCGATATCAAATGAAGCCCAACAAGTAAATTTCGGTGCGGTGTTTGTGTTATATTTATTAACTAATTTCTCTTGTTTCCATTATTTTTCTATTAATTTTAGTGCCATCATCCATATCGGAAGCGAGTAAAGACTCAATCATGGCCCATAGTCCGTCACTCGCCATGGGGCTCCTCATATTCGATAACGGCAAATCAAACGACTTCACCCAACAGCAGCAATGTTCCACATTCAGCCGGCAACTTTCGAACGTTGTTGCACCGGTCAATTTCAATGATGAATTTTGGGAGCAACTATTCAACGTCGACTACAACCCAGATCCAGCGCCAGCAAATTTTCAATATTGGCCAACAGACTCCTTCAATGATACCTTCATCTCATGCCAATCGGACTTTGAATTAGCAAGTTATTTTGAAGAGTATTTAGGTGGACACTAAAAAGACAGTGTTTTGTCTTGATATGAGAAAACACAAAAAGATCATGCAGAGTATTTTTTTTTCTTGCCAAAAAAAGTATTCTTTTTCTTCTTGCTGAGCTTTATATTACATTCATTTCTTGTTTTCATTTATGTTAATGCAGCGGGCTGCTGAAATGTGTTTTTTTCTTCAGGTCTCATTCATTCGACAAAACCTGGCGCTTTCGAACATAACTTTTTTCTTTGTTCTGTCTCGTTGCTTTTGTTCTTATTAGCTTTTTTTGTTTTGGCTTGTGTCAGTAGCTTTCTTAGCTGCATAGAAAAAAAATAGTGTGCGTTATCGACCGGTGAGCTCGTCTCGTATTAGTTTTTTGTAAGGTCTCATTATTTTATTAATGTCAATAAATATATCGAAAAACAAATGAATCTTTGTTTTGTCAATAAAAAAACCGGATCAACAGATGTGATAAACATTCTTCTAAGATGATTCACTAAAATAGAGAAATTTATTTATCGAATTATATATTAAAGAGCAAAAAAACAAAATTTTTGTCTTGAAATTCAAAGAATCTATGTAAATAGATATATGATTGATTAAAAATTAATTTTATTTAATTCATAAAAGAAAAAGCTCGTCTAACATAGCATACATATACATATCTAATTTCTACATTCTCATGCAATGATTTTAGTATTCAAAAGAATACGAATTAAATAAGTACTGATTCAACTTTTCAAGATAGAAATCATGATATTTATGTGAATGAATTTATTTTGAAATAAAAATTTACAGAACGGAACAAGACGGGAACATATTTACTCGACATAGAGTACTACTTATGTCTATTACCTTTTTATTATGTCATTCGACTAGAAGAAATATATTTAAACATCAATGCATTTTTGCTTCCTAAATGTCAATACTCGTGAAACACTTCGCTCATTGAATCCTCTACTTAATGTGTACTTGTTCTGTGATATGCTTAAATGTTTTAATCAATGGGTATTAGTCTTTTACACATGTGTTTATAGAATACGTTATAGTCATGTGTATAAAATAGTCCAACGTCATTTTTTTTCTTACAAAAACGAATGTTATGATAAATAAGAAACTTGAAAAGCAGATATTTTATCAAGTCGTATAACATTAATGTATATATATATAATTTATTTTTAAACAAAAATATAATCTTCATGTTACCAATGAAATTTTTCGTAATTAATCCTATTGAAACTGTCATTAGTAGAAACCTTTAGAATACATAAAGTAATGTCGAGTACCTGTTCATCATTATGATTCTATTCTAAACGTCTCGACTATTCAACAATTATACTGAGAAAGAAGCAAATAAACGATAATTATACGAATATAGTATATGTACTATGGTCTTTTAACTTTGATATTTACCAGATGCCAAAGTTACCTCTTTAATTATCTTCAAGTACTTTTTAATGATGAAAGTATCTACTTTTTATGGTTTCTGAGTGGACGTGAAAACGACAAACGAGTACCGTGATTAGATCGTTTCCATGTATTTTCAGAAATTCTTGTCTACTTGAATACCATTATTTTCATTTTTTTAAGAACTATTACCAATGATAATTCTTTACAACAACAATTACTTTATCCTTCTTTATTATTCTTAAGTCAATAAGAGTTATAATATCGAAAAAAAAAATACAATTACTACACATTCTTATTTTATAAATATACAATAGATAATGAGTTTGAAATAGAATGTAATACGTCAAAAAAAAACATTCACTGTATTTTTGATTTATATTTTACATAAAAAGCATTAAAAACAAATGATGATATAGATAAATATGACTAAACAATAGAGTAGATATGACTAGATGTCTGAATTGAAAAGATCCTAAAAAAGAAAAGATTCATTTTATTTATGAAATAAATATTTTGAGTAAAACTTACATGTACATTAACAATTAAATATTCAACTAATTTTGCTTGATAAGGTGCTTCAAGTAATGTCGAAAGTGTTGTATCATCTTCCGCTCTATTATAATAAAATAGAAAAAAGATTGATGATTTATTTTTTCATATTTTTTTTGTGTCAACATTTTATTTCCATTTTTGCTAGAGTACACTTAGATACTTCTTAAAACTTACATATTTGGACAGGAGAAAAGGAAATATTTGAAGTTCATGAAGAAGAAAATAACACTGGAACAACAATAACAGAGAGTAGAAATAACATAAGAAGCCTATCATATATGTTTGAGGAAAAAACAAACTCCACAACACATGATTAATAATTAGAGTTCGTCGAGTGCGAAATTTTTCGAATCCGGACCCGGTCAGATTCGTGCAACTCGATGGTCTCTACTACCAACAGACCAGAGACAACTAATGAATCGAAACATATACCTATCATTCACAGCGGGCAACAATGTAGACATTAGAAGAAAAAAATGAAAATGAGCTTTCTCGAGATTTGAATACTAACTTATACATGTTGACTAACGAACAGATTTTTGATGAAAACAATGTTGTCCTATCGACTGAATTCAATGGAAAAACTCACTTGCAAAAAAGGTCAAATTTCAGCATCTTTAGAGAAAAATACGAGTTTTTTTGTGAAAAATCAAAAAGAGTTGCACAATCAATCATAGATAGTCTGAAGTTAGGATCTATGCTCTATCTATTTATAAGAAGTTTTCGTTCTAAAAAAAGTGTTATTCGTTTTTCGAAGAAATGTCTTCAGTAAAGTTGACTTCCATTTTTTTCCACCATTCCAATATCGATGATACTTTCAGAGAATGTTTTTCTATATTCGAGATACACACTAAGTTAGCGCAAATATGTGCGAATGCTTCTGAATTGAGATACAATTTTTTTATAAACGCTGAATTCTAAAAGTTTTTCACGACTTCTTTGTCATAAAAGCATTTTGAGAGAAAAATAAAGACATATTTAGACTGAGCGTGAAAAACTGCATTGAATGGTGTAATACTTCTCAATTTTTAAAATAAATACTTTTCCACAGGAGTTTAGGGTAAGTGCCCTCCCTTAGGCATTTTTCATTGCAAATGATCTTTTATTTTTATCAATCTTAATTTTTTGAGTACAAGATGTTAATATGACTATCAAAAAATAACTTCTTGACAGAAAATAAGTCATATCAACATGCTCGATAGAAACTACTTACTGTGCTATTATATGAATAGAAAGAGAAAACACGCCTCATTCAAATAAGTCCTGACTGACTTTACTTTAGGTCAACATATTTCGACATAAACGATTACTTTATTTTATGACCAATAATTATAAGGATCATGAAACGTTCTAAATTAGCAAACTTCTATCGACAATAGACGATCCCTTTTGAATAAACTATGCGCCGAATATAATAAAAGACTTCCTTTCATTAACCCTTTGCAAATGGGGCCCGTATATATACGATTTTGAAACGTGACTAAGAAGAAAAACTTTTAGATGCACTAAAACTGTTTTTTTTTCGTACAATTTTTTGTTGGCAATAAATTTGGTATATAAATAGACATTATGGGATAATTTAAGTATATATATAGCTCCGTGTAGTCCTTCATTGTACATACCAAGTCATCTATCTTAAGACACTATTATTGGTTAGTATGAAGTCTATAATTACATTTATAGTTATAGAATCATATAGACACATTATAAACATTGCGTATTTTTATAATAAATGAAAAAAAAGGTGTTTGGAAAAATAAAATTCTAAAGCATATGATAATTGTTTTACCCTTTGGGGACCGTGCTCGTACATATACGGTTTTGAAATTTGACTAAGGGAAGAAGCCTTTAAATACACAAACTGTTTTTTTTAGTACAGACTTTTTATTTCAACATACGTGTTACACATATAGACGTTATGAAATAGTCCTACATTGACTCATCCACCAACTAGACTTACTGCTAAATACTTCCTGTATCTATACCTTTAATAACAAATAGAAAAACTCTTAAGAAAACTTCTGTTGTATGTATACAGACACTAGCCAAATATCTAGAAAGAGGACTGATTCACACCATATATGTAAAGCTTGCACTGTAAGTGTTTGTATTATTAGTTGCTTCGAGGAATTCCATACTGATTACATTATTAGTTTTTTTTTCACTTGCTTTAATTCCCATATGCTAAGGATTTATTTTTCATTATACTTCTTGAATGTATGTTTTGTTTTCGTTATTTCAATATAGACACGTGCATCTTTTTTTGCATTGAGTCTGGATGAAAAAATTATGATTATTAATTTTCAACTATGAGTGATGTTTTAAAGTGAAAACTCAATTTTTTTTCTGTAAAAAAGAAATCAGTCTTCAAAAGGCTAATTAGTTTCTCACAATAATTCAATTTGAATTAATATATTTTAATCAATATATCCCTAGCTTTCAGGTTTTTGACTTGAAAAGTCCTAAAAGACTGAGGTCAACATGATTTTTGGACTTTTTATGTTCTTCTCAAAACTCGATCTTCGACCAGGTATATTCAAATTGAATGAAACTTTTAGAATATGTTGTAACTGTATTGAAGAGATTAGGGTAATATTTTCAGCCTAATATCACGATGTTTTCGAGTGATCTTCAATAAACAAAGGTCAAGAATAGTTCATTTGGCAATCTGAAACTCCGTATGAGTCTCCATATTCTATATACTTATTTACCTTTTCTTTACAAGAGTATGTCAGAATGTAGGGTATGACAGAGTACTTTTTTTAAATTCCTACTTTTTAATCGCAAAAAAGTTCTATGCCTCGAAAAATGGTGCTCCAATTATAAAAGTACTCTTTCGCATAACAACAATTAAGCTTAATTCAAAAATAGACCTTTGTGTCTCTGTGAATCTTGATTTGCTTTTTCAAATACAACAAAAATAAAATATATAGAATGAAGATGCACAGAAAATTTGGGTCACACGATCAAAAAAATATAAATAGGAAATTCTCGCTTTTTCTGAAAAAACAGATTTTTCAAGTAAAAGATGACAGAAATCATCAAAAAAATGACGTGTCAAATGA